TACAGAAGATGGGATGTTTTGCTAAATACAGAACTAAGTTAATTGATAATTAATAAGTTAACCCTTAAGCGCACGCTAAGGGACCCCGAAATAAAAATGGGTATAAAAAAAGTTTTTGTAACTTACTAAACTTAAAATGTAATACCTATCTATATTCATTTTCCCATATTGTTACGTAAATTTTATGATCCTACCATGTCATTTTGTAGGCTATAATATTTGTAAAAATACCCCCGCCGCAGCAAACCTGCAGACTAAGCGAATTTCCATTTGCCTGATTGGATTTACACTAAAATGTCTACTTAAAAATATCACATTTATTCCCTATTTAAATAGAATCAGTTTAACACGTACTTAGGTTTGCTGCAACAGGGTTTTTTTTATGTAAAATGTTAATTGTTAGTAAGAAATAAAAACATTTTCCATTTGGGCAAAATATGTTAGTAAACAAGCAAACTACAACAGTTTACTTATTCTCCATAAGAATAACATAGGAATTTTAAATTTACAATTTTTTGGAATTTTCTTCGCAACCATTAGGCGCATTATAATGCTTCAATATACTAAATTATTTGTTTATTTAAGCTCTACAAAATAGTTTGGAAAGAACGTGCAAAATTTTGTTTTTTGGGTCAAAAATGGGAAAAACCCATTTTTACCCCATAAAACCCCCCACAAACCCCCGTTCCCATGGTCCGATCATGCTGGTTCGCGAACTCATTCGAATAAACGTAGGTTTACACGTTTATACCAAATTTCATCAAAATCGGATCATTTTTGCTCGAGTTATCGCGCTAACGGACACATATATGAATTTGAAAGGATGGTGTTTTTGGCCTCTAGGGACCATAAAACAAAAAACAAAAAATCGGTCCCGGGTCCAGGTCTTACCATGAGTACTACGGTAATAGCTTATTCCCTACATGGGAAATTCACTAAAAACCATGGAAGCAGTAAATATGTCATAAATTAACATTTCCCAGTATATAAAAAATATTTTTTTAAATTGAAAAATTCAAAACTTTCTTTAGGTAATAATGTATTTTTTTTTTACATCTTCGTCCTGGGGTTGGTTTAGAAGTTCTCTTAAACACATTTCACAAATATTTTACTTGTCCCAGGTACATTGGTTTTTTTGGGATTTACACATTTGGTCTTGGTCTTGGCCTTTTTTTGTCGTGGGTAGACGGTGCACAGCGCCTTTGCATTTTGAGGCTAGATCAGAGGATTCTATGGTTGGACATTTCCATCCAATTGGTTTACAATACAGATACTAAGTTTTTTGGCAAAGTTACAATAGACTACAGATACTACTTCGTTTTTGGGAAAAATTTGAACACTATTAAGATTATAATAATTAAGTTATAATACTTAATTATAATAATAAAACTGATAACTTACACCACTACGCGTACGGGGGTACACTAGACCCCATAATGAACCCAGTACCGGTAACACAAGTATGCGCGTAGGGGTATGCCAGACCCAGGGTGGTGATAACAGGTCAATGACTCGTCAAGCCTAACAACCCTGGGCCAGATGATGGCATATACTATTTATACAACTAGGCCTACTGTTATGCTCACCAGGTAGACTATGCCACCAAACTTGAAAAATTATGACAAAATTATTGTACGTGGAGGTATGTAATAGGCCTACCCCCGCACGTGCCGTTAAGGGTTAAACAACAAAATTATTACAAGTAATTTAGGCCTAAGCGGGAAAAATATATTGCTGCCTAGATGCTAGGGTAATATGCACCCTCTCTAAGTATCCTAACACATGAAATAATTTGACATTAAATTACCTTAGGCAAAAACAACTAGGCTACTGGTAAGGCCTAGTTCTAGCTTTTAATTAGGTAGGCTACTCCTTAAAAAAGAAACATCATTTAAGCCTAAATAATACCTAACTTACAAAATATGAGCCGAAGTATTCTACAATTGTGGCTCATTAGCCTGTTTTGTTGCAACAAACATTGTTAAAAGGGTTGCCACTATGGTTAGGTAAAAATCGGGACGCCCCCCTCCCCCAGGATTTAAGTTAAGTTAGTTAGACATAAGTTATATAAAGGCAATACAGACATAAGTCAGGACTGTCCCGACAAATTCAGGATGGTTGGCAGCCCTGATCGTTACTGTGACTGTCTTCATCCAGATTTGCCCCAAAATGTTCCTCAATAAGTTGTGGAATTTGTATGTTAACCAGGGGTGCCCACAAGGGGGGGCTGTGACGCAGACTGCGTCATTGAAATTCTTGGGGGGGGTAGCAAAAAATTCAAATGGGGGGGGGTGGCTAAAGTTAATTGCAACAGAGTTCAACGTGACGACAATCAAAAATATATTACGAAATCACCAGATAGAAAGTCGTTTAATTAATGACAATAGTTATATTATTTAATTAAATTCGTTAAAATAGAATTTTAGGATAGTTTAGGCATTGACTATACACCTCTACTATAGAGGTGTATAGTCAATGGTTTAGGGTTCGTGTGGGAAGTTATTATTCAAGATTAGAAAGACGTGAGATCTAAGAGGGAGGGCACGGAATGGCTCAACTGATGTGATAGATAAAGATAACGCGTGGTACAGACACGTCCAGCTACGCCGCGACTCAGCACAGAACACCTTGTTGACATAAAGCTCGTTAAAATACAATCAAGTAGCAGGCTGCAATACTTTACACTATTGTGTAGATAATCCAATATAGTATAAACACAGATGACAAACCCATTAAAACGCTGTAAACGGCCATTAACGTCACGATTTGCATTTTTATAAACTAAATTCAATATTGCACAATCATTATTATTGTGCAATAATGACGGATTTTAAATTATTTATCTTGGTGGTTCAGTTATACGAACGGGAACGTTTAAAATCATAGCTAACTCCAACTCAACTAATAACTAGCCAAACACTGCATTGCTATAAATAACGTAAATATTAAACCTTAGAAAGTGTTATAAGCTACTACTGCTCATGATATACAGATAGGCTACCGGTAGGTGCTGTATCACAACATAGGAATTGATAGATAAGTAATAAAGTGTAAAATTATATTTAGAGATAATAAAAACACTCTTAAAAAAATAATGTCACGAGAACAATCTTGTTATTCTTTTTCTTTGTTCTTCTGTTCTTTATTAGGTTTCTCTTCAATTCATACACAAATTCAACAAGTCGCCATATTTTAGGCCTACTCAATTGCCCGATCACAGCCACTAAAGCTACCATGGTTACTAATCACAGTTTACTAAGCATTATATCACAGACAATATAATACTTCAATACATGTATGTACTATAATACGTTGATTCCATTATCTGTGATTATAACGTCATCATTCCCCAGCTGTTGTATCTGAAATCTGTTGTAACATAGCGCACAGCAGACACAAGTGTAAAACGGAGCAGACGATTGTTGGCGCAAGCGTTGTTTCCATTTCATTTTCATCGTTGGAGCTGTGATGTTTCCAAAGGGAGGGAGAGGGGGTCGTTATATCAAGAGAAAGACGCTGACAATTTGTTAAGCAGAGGTTACGAACGCTATATAGATATTCTGGCAATAAAACATTCCTTAAATTGAGGTGACTTATAAAACTCTAATTTTATTTGGGCCTATATAGAAAGATAAGTTTTCCAGTCCTGTAAAACACTGATTCACGGTCTTTTCCCGGTAATCAAAATTCAAGAACAAGTACAACTTGATACACACAGAATCTCCGGTTCCCGACCTAGATGATGGCTGGTATTTAATTGAATTTACAGTAGCATATAAGTACCCGTGATAAATCAAACCCGTTATGTAAGCCAAAGCCACACGGTTATTAATCTAAATTAGTTTTGGATTTGCTTACAAAAGTGATCAGAAATGGTTACACACGTGATCGGCAATGGTTAGGGCCTACGCAGTATTCGTAAACAACATTTATGTAAACATATCAATGACAGCTAGAAAAAGGAATCTTTATCCAAACAGCTGTTCTTAATTTCATATATGACGTGTTCTCTTAACAGATTATTAGCATTTCATAAATGACGTATGTAGTAAACATGGAGGAGAAAACTTGAAAAATCACACAAAATTGGGTTTTTGATCGTCCGTTATTTTATTTCCAAAATTGTGAGGCCATATTTTAATGGCTAAGGACACTCTCGCCAATCCTGTGAAGACAATTAAACCATTAGAATCATAATCGGTACTCTAGTTTTCTTTAGAGTAGGCTGCGTAAAATGCCTTCTGGGCCGTGACAGACGGACATAAATTGAGATAAGACAAGAAGTTGAGATGTTTCAACTTCTTCAATGTATAAAATGTAAAAATAACACAAAATATGTATAATTCTGAGCAATGTGCAGACAAAACTATAGCTTTATTTATATAGATTAACTGGGTTTGAATTTTCAATATCTAAAAGAATGTATAAAACTTAGTTTTACAAATAATCCTGGGTGGGGGAATAATTTTTTTTAAGTTTCTCATTTTTGGGGGGGGGGGCTTTTGCTCAATTGGGGGGGGGGGGTGCGTCATGAGTCTAGGGGGGGATGGGCACCCCTGTGTTAACCACTTAAACTTAGACTTATATAGTTGAAACACAAACTTTAGGCCCTATCACATTTTTAAAATCTGGGAACCAATCACATAATTTATAAGTTAGCAAGTTTTAGCCTAGGCTACTTAAATAATAACTACAAATTGATATTGAGGTCCTAGTTCAAAAATAGACGTTTGAGGCCTGTAAACGTTTATATTCAGCAGATAACTTACAGGGGAAAATCATTTTTTTTTAAACTTAGATGTACTTATCTTGACTATGGCTAATGTAAATTAGTTATACAATGTCTGTAAATGAAAAATTCGATTTAGGCATATTTCATTTTTGGGGTTATGTAGGCCTAGCTAAACTGTCACTTTTTGGTTATGCAAGTACCGGGGCGCGTGCTTCTGTTTGATCACATAATAACTTACCTTTTATAAACCAATCAAAGATTCACTTACCAAAATATGAATTTGACTATGTATAATCAAAATTAGTATTAAAATACAATCTACAATTAAATTATCCTACTACTAAAAATTACTTCGTGCTTCCTAGAAGATGCTGCTAGAAGTACAAACAAGTGGACGACCAACTTCCAACTCCAACTTCAAGAAGCAAAGAAAGAAACGAGCAGAAATTTCGGGATTGAAGATCAAGGCTGAAGTTAGTTATCTAACAAACAACTAAACTAGTCCAGGCACGGCGCGGCGATTTTAAAACAAAAGCAAGGCATAACTTATTAATGCAATTTGATTTGAACCTTGCTTGCCTAAACCTAAACTTTTAAACTAAAAACAAACTTTTTTTGCAACAGGAACAGGTGGCGTTTGTGGTGCCACTTCGATCAAGCCTATAAGAAAAAATACAAATGAGAAATGAGTCATTATGTATAATGGAATGAATCAATTGCACATTGATTTTTATTGTTGTTGGAGTTAGTCTTTTTCAAACAAATGGATAAAATAAGTTTTATATAAAATATATGATGTCAAACACTGAAGTTGTATTTAGAAATGTAAATGGGTTACAATCTCTTGTGTGTGGTTCACGCAAGAGAAAATCGTATAACAAAACCTGTTTAGATTGAAATTAGTGTATGTGATAATCCTTATAATTCCAAACAACATATGAAACCCCCCATTGCTGTAAAAATTATGGTTCAAAAGTTATTGTAGCTTATGTTATTTTCCCATAAAACATCAATTTAATAACGGAAAAATGGATGTTTTTTTTTTAACCAATTCTGATTGAAATTCTTCTGTTATGGTCCTCATAATCCCAAACAAATTAGTGCATCCCTTCATTCCTGTTAAAATTACTGTTCAAAAGTTAATGAAACTTTTGTGATTTTACCTGTTAAATATCATAGTTACTCGCATCGCTTAGGCTTAGCCATGATAAAGGTTGTTGACAAGCTAATGGGAGAAAGTATGTGTCAGATTGCTGATACCGTTTATTTCATTTTGATGTCTTCGAGAGGCCCAAAACACCATCCCTTCAAATACAAATCTATTCGTATATTATCATTTATTTTAATCTATGATATTATACAAAATATATGTGTGTGTGTGCGTTAGCAAGATAACTCGAGCAAAATGGTCCAATTATGATGAAATTTGGTACAAACGTGTAAACAGAAGTTTATTCGACGTGAACCAGCGTGATCGGACCATGAGAACGGGGTTTTATGGGAGTATTTACGAGAGTGAAAATTGGTTTTTCACCAGCAATCATCAGCAATAAAATATCCACACTTTAGTTTAATTTTTCCTTAGTTTACAGATTGAACTTGTGTGAAGCTGTCAATAACTCGCCATTAAGTAGTACCAGCGCTTGTAAAAATCAATAAACGGCGCTGTTTCGGGCTAATCGGGCTACATTGCATAATACCCACATGGTCACGAGATAAAGGACACTTTAACGCCCAAGTCAGTATAATGGCCATATAGCAGGAACGCACGAGGGTCATACAAAAAGGGCGTGACAAACTGCTCACGCCGAAATCTATTGGTGGCCGTTTTGCGGAAAAATATGGCCGAGCAAGCACCTTGATACCTATATATGGTCACGAGTTAGAGGGCACCTTAACGCACAAGTCAGTATCATGATCATATACCAGGAACGCAGGAGGGTCATATAAGGGCTTAAAATGACAAACTGTGCACGCCGAAATTTATTGGTGGCCGTTTTGCAGGAAAATACGGCACCTTAATACCTATATGGTCACGAGGTAAAGGACGCCTTAACGCACATGTCAGTATCATGATCATATACCAGGAACAGTTTAAGCCCTTATTTATAACCCTCCTCTGTTCCTGGCAAATGACCATGATACTGACATGTGCGTTAAGGCGTCCTTTACCTCGTGAATATATAGGTATTAAGGTGCTCGGCCGTATTTTTCCGCAAAACGGCCACCAGTAGATGGGATGCGTACGCAGTTTGTCATTTTCATTTTAAGCCCTTATTATGTTCCATATTATGTTGTTATATTACCCTCCTGTGTTCCTAGTATATGACCATGATACTGACTTGTACGTTAAGGTGTCCTCTAACTCGTGATTATATGGGTATTTAAGCAGTGCGGCCCGATTAGCCCAAAACAGTGCAGTTTATTGATTTTTAGAAGCGCGGACACTACTTATTGGTGAGTTATTGGCAGTTTCACACCAATACAGATTGAACGATTGGTAAAGTTAACTTTAATTGGCAACGTCGCAAGTAGGGTTGTTTAGTGTCCGACGTCCCATAACATAACATGGCAGACAGGTGACATCAGCTCATTTATTCGCACTTTATTGATTTAAATTTAAATTCATGAACATAAACGTATTAAATTATTGAAAAAAAAAACAGACAGAATTACAAAAAAAAAACCAAAACAATATGAATTGAAAATCTATAACTTTACATTACAGCGGAGTGAATATTTTCATAGCCCAGTAACCAAACTTTCGTAATACCACAAATACCATTAGCTGCTTCCAAACAAAACAGCTGTTACAACCCTACTTGTGACGTTGCCACTTCGAAGGCCGCGGCCTGGAGTTAAAGGTGGCCATGGTTACCCTGAAAAGACGATGAGGCATTCGTGCCTGGTGGTAACACTGCGTTATTGCGTGCGTTGGTTGGTCAAACTGGTCAAAGTTTCGTCTACGTCTAGTCGTACTCCTAGTGTCAAGTCAAGTGTCGATTTCTTATTGTCAGTGTCTGTGTCTACACTGTCTAACCCATGTCTGTAACTTAATTTTATTGTTCCCCTTAGTTTTTCTTACTTCATTTCGTGTTCTGTTGACTTTCGGATTTTGTAAATGGTTGCGTTTGCCTTGGATTTGTTTTATAACAGAAAAATACAAGCAGGACTGAAGAGAAGAGCAATGTAGAATAAGGTTTGTAATTTATGTCCTAAAGTTTGTTGTCTTGAAATTCAGGCCTGAAGAAGAGTTCTTGTCGACAACTAACAATTCTTGTTAAATACTTGATTGTCCTTGCTGTCTTTGGGGGTTTGTGTTTGAAATGTTTATTAGATCAATGGTTCACAATGTTTCATTGTCTTACTCCAGAGGTAAGTTGCTATGATCTTGTTTTATCTTGCAAATCTAAAACAGACAGAATTTCTGATTTACCATCGCAAATCCAAGCAACATAGGCCTACTCGAGAAAATAAACTTGGAAGCTCCTCGAATAGCAATTCATTAAATGACCGTGAAAAGGGTAAAAGATACAGTGATGTAGTGATTGGCAAGAGGACTGATTGTGCAATTAAAAGTGTTCACTTGAAACCAACAATCAAAAAGAAGGCTATTTTCCTCTCTAGGCTGAGCCCAGAATCTACCGCTAAGGATATAGACAGTTACATTAAGGATGAACTTAACCTGCAATCTCTCAAGTGTACACAAATTAGGACAAAATACGAAGGCTACTCTTCCTTTCATGTAGAGGTGCCGGAATCTGATTTTGATAAACTTTTAAGTGCTGATTTGTGGCCCGAAGGTTGTCTCTTTGCTCCATTCAAGGGAATTCTACGAAGAGACATAGTAGTGAAGAGAAGTGAAGATTCAAAAAACTCTACTCTCGCAAGTCAAGAAAATCCAGTTTGATAGCATATGGGCCCGGAACTTTGTGGGATCGAGGTGATGCCTACTCTCAACTCAGTAAAGCGACTGGTGAACCTGAATCATTAGACTGTGAGACGGAGTTTAACTTTCTGTTCCTCAATATTCAAGGACTTAAGGACAAATTCATAATTCTTGAAGGATTTGTTATTAATCTTAATCTATCTATACTTTGTATCTCAGAACATTGGCTTCAGTCAGGTGAGGTTAGCTTTTCTTGTCCTAGTAATTATGTATTAGGTAACGCTTTTTGCAGATCAAATAAAATCAGAGGAGGTACCCTTATTTTTGTAAGGAATGACCTTGCCCTACAGGCTAAAGAACTTGACGTAGCCTATTTATGTGACGAGCTACACTTCGAATTGTCATCTGTAATTTTCGATAGTTTGAAAATCATTGTAGTTTCACTCTATAGATCTCCTAATGGTAGTCCAAGCATATTTCTTGAAAAATTGGAATGTTTGCTGTTGTTTTTATGTAATTGGCCCAGTTATAATGTGATTATTGGAGGAGACGTGAATAGAGATTTTGACATCACAACAGAAAAACAAACCGTTAAAGATTTTTTAAACCTTCTTAGACAAAACAACTATTTTTGTAAAAATTTTTCCCCAACACGAGGTGAGCATTGCCTTGATAATGTCTTTGTAAGGATAGGCACTAACAATGTTGCTAGCTGTAATAGTAATGTAATATTCTTTCCTTTCTCTGACCATGATAGTATAATCCTTAGTTTAAGTTTTAATTCAAATATTTTATCTGACAATGAGCCTATCAGTTACCTTAGAACAGTATTGCCCAAGTCAAGCCTTTTGGACATAACTGATAGCCTATTATCATTTGACTGGGATCTGTTATTCCAAAGTCTAACTGTTGATGCTTCAATCTGGTTTTCATGTTTTTTTGAAAGGTTACTCACAGTAATAAACTATTACTGCCGTATGAAGAAACATAGGCCTACTACCTGCATGGATAGTAGACCTATCAAAAACAGCTGGTACACCAGTGATCTTGCTGGTATGAAAGAGGAGTTATTGACCTTGAGTAAGTTGTTCAAACATACCAATTCTCTAGAAGTTAAGTCTCAAATGAACAGTTTAAAAAAGGAATATAGACAAAATATAGAAAAAGCTCGAATTTTACATAATCGCAATTACATAGAAAATAGCAGTAATAAATGTAAGGCTGCCTGGAAAGTAATACAAGATAACACTAAGACCTCTCGTTCTAATGAAAAAATTCCAATAACACCACAACAGTTTAATGACTTTTTCATAGATTCAGTTGAGAGCATCAAGCAGCAGCTTAATACTGTGCAGCAGCAAGGAGCTACTCAGTGCATTCCAGATAGTCAAATCCATAACACCAATCACATTTCCCCGCCAGTTTTCTCCTTTAATCCTGTAACTCCCGAATCTGTTCTTAAAGCTGTAAAACGCCTAAAAAACTCTAATAGTAATGATTTCTACAATATATCAAACAACTCATTAAAACACATTATATCTGGTATATTACACCCATTCACTTCATGTATCAACTTGTGTCTGCTCAATGGTCATTTCCCCAAGGAACTGAAGATTTCACGGGTTTGTCCAATCTTTAAGAAAGGTGCTAGGAATAGGCCTGAAAGTTATAGGCCCATATCAATCATACCAACCCTATCTAAAGTTATTGAGATACTTGTGTTTGATCAAGTCAGCAATTTTTTAGAAAATAACAATCTTATTTATATGTCTCAATATGGATTCCGCAGTGGTATGTCAACCACAGATGCCATCGATGCTTTAGTACAAGAAGTATTAAATACTTTTGAGAGGAAGGCCTTTGCTTGGGCCACACTGTGTGACCTGAGCAAGGCCTTTGACTGTGTGGCCCATGATAATCTATTGTGCAAATTAGAGGACTTAGGCATTAAGGGGTCTGCTCTCTCTTTTTTTAAATCATACCTAGAAAATCGCAAACAACGTGTACTTTTAAATGGCTTGTGGTCGGACGAGGCTACTCTCAAGTATGGAGTACCACAAGGCTCTGTTCTGGGACCAATGTTATTCCTAGTAGCCATAAATGACCTGCCAAAAAAAATACCTAGCTTAACAAAAACCATACTGTATGCTGATGACACTACTTTTGTATCAGTTAGCAATCATTTAGATCTACTTAAACCTTTAGCTGATGGGGCTTTAAACAAGGCATCAGTGTGGTTTCAAGAAAATGGGCTTCTATTAAATAACGATAAAACACAGAATATTATTTTTAGTCTCAGGCCTGTTAACCTTGAACTGCCTAATAATGTAAGTTGTGTTAAGTTTTTAGGCATTTATCTTGATAATAACCTTCAGTGGGACAATCACATCGATCATATAGCTGCAAGATTGTCCAGAGTGGTACATCTCATTAGACGTCTTAAGTATTTTGTTGACTTTGACTACATAAAAATGGCCTACTTTGCATTTTTCCAAAGTATTTTCCGTTATGGTCTTATCTTCTGGGGAAACAGCTGCAAAATTACAGATATTTTAATCATACAAAAAAAGGTGGTTAGACTAATTGCAAGTTCCACCCAAGACGCTCATAGTAAACCTTTATTCCTCGAGTTAAAAATTCAAACTGTTGTTAATTTGTACATTTTTGATCTTATGTCTTATGCTTTAAAAAATCTATCAACTTCAATTTTTAACAATCAAGTCCATACATATAATACAAGAAGTAATTGTCAGATAAACAGAACATTTAATAGGCTGAGTAAAACATTGAAAAGTCATGTTGTTATGTCCGATAAGGTATTTAATAAATTGAGTAAGACTGTTCAATTTTATCCAGGTAGACATTCTTTATTTTTAAGTAAATTTTATGACTGGCTCTTAAGAAACCCTTTTTTTTCTATTGACGACTTCATGGCCGTAAAGGAAGTTCAGTTTTAGACTCATTGTCAGTGCCTAGGTTAGTTTATATTGTTGTTAATATTGGTTAGTTTATATTGTTGTTAATCTTTTATCTTAATTGTCTATCAGCGTTTGTTATACTGTTTTTATCTCTTGTTAGCAGGACCTTGTCTACTGTTTTTTATATTTTAAATGTCCATCAACATTTGTTGCAATTGTTAATTTTTATAAATTTTTATCTTAATATCTGTATTTTGTTGTTGGTTCATATAATTTATTCTTTGTTAAATTTTCATATTTATTTACAAAATGTATTTATTGTTAAATCACACTCCATACTGTTGGTAATCCACAGAGCTGAAAAAAAAAAAAAAAAAAAAAAAAAAAAATTAACATATTGGACATGTTAGTTGTAATGTCTAGCCTGACTGTAGCCATGCTATATACACATGACAATTGTCAATGCATTTTTGTAATGTCCAATGACAAATAAATATTTCTGATTCTGATTCTGAAATAAGCTGTAAGCAAGTAATTAACATGTCTTATTACGCAAAGCCACTCGTTTTTTTTTTCAAGCAGAACCTGTCAGCAATTTTCATTCGTCAGCATATTATTGCTGACACATATTTCTAAAAGCTTTTAAATTATATAAACTTGTAAGTTAATCTTTGATTAAGTTGCACAATCTAACCTCAAATTTTTGGGTTAGTTCATTCATCCAATCAATAGGCTAGGATATAGAACCATCATCAGTCCTTTTCCTTTGGTGCCCTAACAACTTTTTTATAAAAATTCCTGGACAGATTACGCTCCATAGAACCATAATTGTTCTTTCCATCCAGTCAAGACACCAGACATTAATAGTGTAGCCTTGTACCATCAAGAGTAGCCTAAAGATTTGTCCAATGGCTATTCATTTTAATATGACATGTAGCCAATGGTTTAGCTTAAAGAAAAGACAGGATAAGACTAGGCTATACCCCAATCCATATTCACCGTGCAGCACAGGTCTAACGGGAGGTATTCGTGCTAATGGCACTACTGGGGATGTCATGCACTTTCAAACTGTCCAAATGACACTTGGGAAGACACAATGTATAGGCTATTTTAAGTTTGAGTAGTAGAAGCTTTGACTATTTATACAACTAGACATTTCATCCCCATGTTAACCCTCCGAGTGTCCATAGTTTAGGCCTTAATGTCCGCCTATTTTTGGCGCATTTGCAAGGTTTTATTAAAACGGATCTGAGAAGCTTAAAACAATGCTACTTAAAACAATGCAAGTGCCTCGACCAGCATGTATTTATATAATTTGACTGTGTCTCATGCATTTATATAATGTCTATAGACGAATAAATATCATTTCATTTCATTTCATTTCATTTCATTTCAATGTTAATTCTACTGTTCTATATACCATTTTGTTTGGAAAATCATGGGCTTCAATTTCATACATAAAACATAAGGAATATTTGTTTCAAAAAATCTTTTAGGAAAAAAAAAATTATTTTGGAAAAATTGAAAAAAAAATAAGTTTGTGCTCAATGAAATTGTATAAATTACAGGCCTATAAATATTTGAAAATAGCCACTTTGTTCTAAATTTTATGAGGATTACAAATATATAATAATATAAGGCAGAAGATTTGCAAATAAATAAGTTATGGGCAAAAAACAGATTTCAGTACATAGCGTTTAGCTAAGAATGCATAGCCTAACCATAGCTAGGAATCTGGCTGATAATTTACATCAATATCACTACCTACTTCTTCAGGATCATCAACCAGCCCTTCAAAATCATTTAAATCTTCTTATAATGCACCACGTATATCACTACTTTTGATTTTTAACACTAAAACAATGATAAACGTAATAAAACACATCAGTCATCGGTCCGAGGTTAACCAAGCTGTTTACAAATACGCACGTCAGCTGTCTGCTACAATATTTTCGGAACTAAAATGAATAGCGCTTAGAAACAGACCTCTGGAGAAAGCTTAGAGTCTTACAAAAAGAACGATACCTAACTCGATCCAGTTCAATCCGATTCAGTCAGTCATAGAGCCTTCGCCGTAAACGATGTTCGTGTGTCGAAAAATCGACAAATGACACTACACAAAGTGTGTTGAGAGTCGATTTTTCGACAAGTGACGCTCGGAGGGTTACCTTTTAAGCCAGATTTATGTGAGCTACCGACAGATTGCGCTGATCTAAAGGTACTTTCCTGTTAAAGGGAACATTCATTATTATCGATGATTTTTTTCGATATATCGATATTAACAAATTGAAACATATCAGCTGACAACTAGGATAAATATTGTTCAGTATATGAAACTGTTGAAAAAAAAACCTAACATAACTAACCAAACTTGCTGTAAAATTTAAAAATTCCGTGTTTAACTTGCCTTTTCTATTATCAAACCCAAACGGAAGTTTTAAATGGTACAGCAAGTTTGGTTGGTTATGTTAGGTTAGCTTAGAACAGTTTCATTTCTTAATCCATATAGACTATTTTAGCCTAAACAAGATCAGTTAGTTGTTGTTGTCAATTTGTAATAGATCTGATCGGAAAACAAAAATATCAATATATAAAAAAAATCATCGATAATAATGAATGTTCCCTTTAACAGGAAAGTACCGATCTAAATTACTAAATTCTGTTGATACAAACATTTTTTACCAAGTCAATCAAAGGAATCACATGATGAGTTACCTATAGCAACTGTTATGACCAACAGCAGCAACAAAAAATACCGTAAGGTATGAAATAGAATCTTGGACACTAGCGCATTCTCTGACTGGCTCAATCAACTATGTACTTATTGGGATGAATAAAAAATTAGCGACAGCTGATCCATATGGGAGGTCTACTTCAGTATCCAATAGTCAATGGTAGCAGTACGGTATTAGAAACATCACAACCCATTGAAAACAAATAAACAAGGGCCTAAATCATCAATATGAGTTCAAAACAACTTTGAAAAAACTTAAATGAAAATATATTACAATTCCAAATATGTGGTTGCCAAGCAACACAAAACTTATGTAATATAAACAACTAATATGTTTTAGTTTGTTGTCAGTAAAGATTGTTATTACTAATAAATAACCTTTGCCAATGTATAAAAACAAAAACAAAAAATGAAGAACGTGAGCAAATGGCTTAAATAGTGTCTGCTAACAGACCGAAGGCAACGGAATTGCGACAAAACTCATAGCCAGAAGCTTTTGAATCAAAACAATGTGTTTTTAAAGACAATAATAGGTTTTTTACATACCTCAGTCAAATAGTCCAAAATGGTATTGCTCAACAGCTTACATGTTTCGTTGCGAAGACAACATTATCAAAGCTTGCAACTCGTCAAAAACACATTTAAAACACGAACACAGAAGACATTAATACGGTACGAATACACAATTGACATTTAGATAGCGCTATCATAATACTGATTTGGTCCGGCGCGGCACGGGGCTGGTAGCAGACTGGAGGTCACGTCACGTCGTCTCCTCTACTGTTATCACTGATGTTATCAGATCTTCGATCAGCTGTTCCTGAGTTTAATATTGTATTAAAAATCGAGTGAGACTGGAACTGTAATTTTTCGTTAAGGATGTGGTCCTTACACTGTTCGTCATTATAAATTTTATAAATCTCGAACTCCTCCAAGGTGTCAAGTTTTCTACCTTTCCCACAGACATGTAGAATTTTTAAACCATCGTCAATGCTACTCATTGAGTGATTTGAATCAACCAGGTGTTGTGCGAAGGCTGATTTTTGTTTGACCACTGGTTGATTCAAATCACTCAATGAGTAGCATTGACGATGGTTTAAAAATTCTACATGTCTGTGGGAAAGGTAGAAAACTTGACACCTTGGAGGAGTTCGAGATTTATAAAATTTATAATGACGAACAGTGTAAGGACCACATCCTTAACGAAAAATTACAGTTCCAGTCTCGCTAGATTTTTAATACAATATTAAACTCAGGAACAGCTGATCGAAGATCTGATAACATCAGTGATAACAGTAGAGGAGACAACGTGACGTGACCTCCAGTCTGCTACCAGCCCCGCGCCGCGCCGGACCAAATCAGTATTATGATAGCGCTATCTAAATGTCAATTGTGTATTCGTACCGTATTAATGTCTTCTGTGTTCGTGTTCGTGTTTTAAATGTGTTTTTGACGAGTTGCAAGCTTTGATAATGTTGTCTTCGCAACGAAACATGTAAGCTGTTGAGCAATACCATTTTGGACTATTTGACTGAGGTATGTAAAAAACCTATTATTGTCTTAACAATATAGTCCAGGGGCCGAAAACATGAATTTTGTGTTTTTAAAGTCGGTACAGTATGTTCTTTCACAGCCACCTTTAACTACAGGCCGCGGCCTGGTAGAATTGGCAACGTCGCAAGTGGTGTTGTTTAGTGACAGACGTCCCATAAGATAACATGGCAGACAGGTGACATCAGCTCATTAATTCACACTTTATTGATTTAAATTTAAATTCATGAACATAAATTTATTAAAATATTGAAAATAAAACATACAGAATTGAAAACCAAAACAATATGAATTAAAAATCCATATCTGTAGATTTTAAAGCGGATTCATTATTGTCATAGTCCAGTAACCAATCTTTCGTAAATACACAAATTCCATTAACTTAGCTTCTTCCAAACGAAACAGCTGTTACAACTCCACTTGCGACGTTGCCACTTCGAAGGCCGCGGCCTGGAGTTAAAGGCGGCCGTGGTTTTTTGGTGTTTGAGTAATATATAAAATAGGCCTAGCCTACTCAGAGTCGCCATCAGCAAAGCTCGGAAATTTATGTGTAAACACATGTTATGAGCGACGGTGCGGCACTAAAAGGGTTATAAAACAAATAATTTAATCTTACAGTAATGCATTATTGTGTGCTTATTGCCTACAAAGACAGTTCCAAAACATTATAAAATCAAAATTCTTGTTTTTTCTTATGAAGAATGTAAATTAGTAAAACTTTACTAACCTAATGTTATTTAAGTTGACCTAGGCCTACTTAAATAAAAATCAATACAGGGAAATAAAAATTTGCTCAGTCTGCAGGTTTTTCTGTGTTATCTGGCTTAATTTGTTAATCTTTTTAGGATAAAAAGGTTCCTCATGACTCATCGAGAAAGCGGGCGGGAAAGACTTAGACTAAGTGGATTGGTTCACTTGGAGAGACGGACAATGGAAGGTTCACGCATCATCAGGGATAACCTCAACCGGGTTTGTCAAGAACTTCGGCCCCTAGTGCAACCAAGAAGTGGCATTACAAGTGATGGCATCACACCACACATTACACTTCCTAACTGGATACAGGCGAGGTCATTGACTTCAGCCGCATCTACCTCCTCTGTGACTACATCAAGTATGTATCATTGTCATTGGTAATCTTTCTTTCGAAAATAGGCCTAAACCACATCTCTGGCTGAGTATTGTTATGGTCTGAATTTACTAGTTCTGGTTTGATTAACCATCCCTCCCTTTTTTGGTATCTTCACTTGGCACAGGTTGCTCTGCAATTCTACAAAGTAGGTACAATGTCACGTTCGTTTCTGTGATTTTAATATTTTTTTATGACCTAGGCTCCAAACATACAGCTATTATAAGCCTCATCATTTAATCAAATTTGACATCAGGAATGTTAGCATCATATATTACATATCTTAAACTTAAAAAGTATAGGTAAGTTAATCAGACTTAGTTAAACAATTGTTTTGTTGCCTTTTGCTGTCCGGTTCTTTGAATTTTCTTAGCAATCACTGAGGGTTAAAAATTAGTGTGCAATGCTCTCTTCAGCTGTGTTGAATCACTATATGAAGCAATTGTTTAGTAGGATGCTTGGGTTAGAGCATTGCTGTCTATACTACAACTGAATCGTTCGCTGCAATTCTCAGAACTAATCTCGTATCAGTCCGACCACCTAAAGCCATACCTCGCTGCATTGTAGCCAAACATTACGAGAAAATTGCTTGGATATAAAATCCATAACCTCCAAATTTTTAGGCTGTACAGATTACAATTGTGTAGATCAATTGAAAATCAAGCTACTATGGACGGAAATATAGCGTTTTTGTGAGTGTGAAAGTGATAATGCTGAAGGAGGTAATAAGAGAGCGACAGTTCATATGTTTGGGGGAATCGAGCAGACAGACTTTGTGATATACAATGTGCAAAAACAGAGAAAGTTCAGTCAAGTGTTGGTCCCTTGTTTGTATCTTCAAAGTACAGTTGGTAGTGTAATTCCACACACTCAGTGCATGCTTTTGTAATAGGCTTACATTTTTATTACATGTTGTTTATGATTTTTTAATGTTTAAGGAAATGACATGGAGTCTTTTGTAATCAACCTAGAGTCAGATGAAAGAGACCCAGATGTCCAGAGTTCCAGCAGACCACCCGGCAGTCCACCTGGTGATAGTCGATCAATGCCTTCCAACACTTCATCCAACAGCCCTGAAACTAATTCAGAACCTACCAACAATCCACAACCAGATGAAAGTAAGTATAACCTTTAGTCTTTCATATTATTTCCATATTTCACTTTGGGGATGAAGTTCTGGTCTCCATGAAAAAGTCTTTCTATCTTGTCATCAAAGAACTTAAGGTGGCTGTAATGTCAATCCAGTGTTATATGAGTCCATACATTAGCTGCTACACAAAACTCTAATGGTCCTTTTGCCTCAGTCATAAACATATTCCATTAAAGTCATTATAGGTTTTGAGAAAGTCAAAGTGTGAGTTCCTCATTAGTAAGTATTTTTTAGGAATAAACCTGACATTCTCAAACTCCAAAAATCTCAGGATTATAATTTACGTAATTAACTTAATGGGTATAATTCCCAGGTAAAGATAGACTTGCAGAAAAGATTAGTCCTAGGAGTGCATGTAGTGTCGACTTATGTTAAAGGAAACATTGACAATATTTTAGTCAGCCATAATTGTTGACATATTTATTACTAAAAGACTTCAGTTCCATAATTTGTACACTGTATCTAAATCACCAATTCAATTGCCGGGTATACAGTAGAACCCCTCATATCCGATCTCACAATAACTGACTCCTCGGGATATCCGACCTAGTGTCCGACCGTATATTTTTATTCTGTCTCGGGCGATAATGCTGAGCATGATCGGTTAACCGAAAGGCCTATTGTGGATGTTGCCGTAGTCGCTGCAGACTATCATTACTGTCGTCGATAACGGGTGTTGCCACCGTCGCAGGAGACGGTTACCTAAGTCCCGGAGACTGCAAGTTATTCTCACGGGTGTTGTCCCCGTTACAGGAGAAAATTATTTAAGTAGCGGAAGCTGCAAGTTCGCTCACGGGTGTTGTCGCTGTAGCAGGAGACAATTACCGATGTTGCAGGGACTGCAGGTTATACCCCTCACTATATCAGACCATGGCCCGGTCCCGCCATGGTCGGATATGAGGGGTTCTACTGTACTTGCCATTTCAAACATCCTGCTGTTTATTTTGGGAACTTAAACCCAACAATCATAAAAAGGGATACTCGTCAGATGGTAATAACAGTTTAAGTCTGGTAAGCTGGGCTGAAAATTGTAACATTTTCTTTTCTGGAAATTTTAAGACTTAGCCTATATCCCTCATTTTCAGTTCAAACAACAAAATCAAACAAGTGCTTTCCGTACTCATGTTTTGTGTAAAGCTATAATTTGGAGACAAAACTATCTCAATCCGCCGAAGAGTTCTTGGATATGGCTCTCAACTATAGGAGTGCGAACCTGAGATTTTCAATCGAGCCTCAAGCTTTTTTCTATCAATCATGAATTTACGTGTACGGGTAGGCCTAGTTACAAATAATAGATAATCAGGCCTAGTCAAAAAGTGTAAAAAAATGTAATTTAATGTTAATATGTAGAGTTAAATATATTTTTTTTTGTAGATAAAAGGATGAAACAAAGAACTAAGTTTATAAAAAATCTGCCCCCCTATTATTTTCTTCAAAAGGAAATCTTTTCTTAAAATCGGCGCGGTAATAGACAATGAATAAAAGTAAAAAAAAAAATAATAAACAACTATACCAACAATCAATTAAACAACTTATTGATTTGTTTATATTTGGATTTGAAGTGAACTTGTATAATTAGCATAAAAGTTATTATTTTAAATATATTCATAGTTAAATATTTTATGATCAAAACAAGAGAATATTCATTTTAGGGGAAGTAGACAAATTTGCAGAGAAATTTAAATGCCAGCAGGCCTCTTAAGTTGAAATTAGCATGAATTTAAACTCAGTTTTAAGCATATGAGATTTGGTCTCCAGTTAAAAGCAGTATTACATTGTGTTCCTATCATAAATAATTAATCTATTGTAATTTGCATTTATCACAATGTTGTGCTGACTATAATCCTTAATATTGTTATTATTTTCATTAACCCAAGATCATGTCATCATCATCGTCTCCCGCGACAAAATTCTGAATATCTCCATCGTTCACAGAAACATTATCTTCAGCGGCATAATCCTGAACGTCTCCCGCAGTCACAGAAACGCTATCATCGTCATCTGCAATCATGGAAATCCTTCCCGCGATCATGTAATCATCATCGTCTTCTGCGGCCACCTAAACGTTATAATTGTCTTCTGCGATTGCGGCGAAATTCTGAATATCTCCCATGGTCATCATCATTGTCTTCTGTGGTCGTGGAAGTCTTGATGTTATCATTGCCATCCGCGATCGTGGAAAAATCCTGAATCTCCCACATGGCATGGCATGGGATATCATAGTTTTCCGTGGTCATGGAAACGTTATCATCATCATCCGCGATCGCGGCAAGATCCTGAGCATCTCTCCCTGTTGAGTAGTCTACACATCACCTTCGCTTTTCCTGATTATGGAAACGTTATTGATGTCATGTGAACTTTGCAGACACGTTTGTGCTCGATCTCTTGAGCTTGTAGGCCAGGCTCGGCTTGGCTCGAAAATTGAGCTGCTCGCACATCTCTAGTCTCATCATAGGACTATTTTGAACATATCAAATATACTTACCTCATCATCTAGGGCCCATCATATCAGAGAGTATGTAGGGGAATACAATTCTTGTCTCCTTAGATAGGCTACTATCTTTAACCTAATTAGATGTAATTTTTGATAATCCAACAAAAGGTAAGTTTACCAAATGATTTTTTTGTTTTGTTTCAGGTGTTACTGACTTATTTAACTTGAGTCCTGAAGCGACTTCACTCATAAATGTAATAAAGAAATACATTCCTTTTGTTACAATAATACTGGCCAAAGCAGTATATGACTACAGCCCAGGTATATTTAATGTATTTCAAGGTATAAATTATTATTTTATTTTGATTTTTTTCAAAAACATAATTATTTATAGTACAGTAAAACCTCGCTTATCTGGGAGCTGGTGAACCATGCGGTAGATCAACTGTGTCCAAAAGATACCTCTTAAATTACGTACAAAACCTTATTATCACATGAAAAATATAGAAATATAGAAAAATACTGCACATGGTTTGGTAGGTTATTTTAATTCATGAACAAGCTGTGATTTAAAATGTTACAGTTTATACATCTGAACCAAGGTTAATAACTTATCATGATTGTGCATTATTTATGATTGCACAATATTGTTTTTTACCCTCATGTTAAAATGCAAATAATGACATTAATGTATATTTATACAGAATTACATGGTTAAAATTGGATTTATTGTATATTTTTACCATGTTGGACTAGTGGTTTTCAGTTATTCTTGGCCTCTCTCCTCCCAAGTTCCCAGGATAGTCGAGGTTCTACTATAATTATAATTAGTTACAAAAGTTAAAATTATTATTTTCAAGTACGGTACTGTAGTCTATAAATTATTAGTCTTGGTGAGGTACAATTTTCACATTTATGATTGTGAAACCTCAATTAACATGTTCACTGGTCCTTTGCCAGTGGTGCACGACGAGTATACTTGTCAAAGCGCCATTTACAAACTATTGTTCCAGCGTGAGGTTAGCCACTGCCGTGAGATATCATTTCGCTTGCTGCTTGTTGTGCCAGTTTTATACTTCAATCTGGTATAATTCGTTTTTAGATCCCACTATTTTATCCCCACTATTTTGGTGGTAGGAATTGTTAAAAAATACTGTAGTGTGGGGTTTAGGCTTGAATTTAATGCTATGCAATAAAATAACGATACAGTAGAACGTCGATTATCCGAATTAATTGGGGATTGGGGGTGTTCGGATAACTGATTTTTCGGATAATCGGTCATTGACGGGAAATGACGGGAAGGGATAGCGGCCGGCGGCGATTTGCCGATTTTGCGTCAGTGACGTCTGTGGATACTGTACAATAATATAAATTTAATTAATTAACATCCAGATTTATTTTTACAATACAGCAACAAACATGTACAACAGTACTTAGAACTGGACTACAGAATCAGAATGTGTACAGAAAGAAATTTAAAAAAAGTCCAAAATAGATTTTTGCTTTAGTCCAGACACTCGTTTTTTTGCTGCTAAATCTCGCAGTCGTTTTAAAGACAGCAATTGGACAGAATCACATTCTTCTTGCTGCTCTAACCACAGCATTGCAGTCTCTAGGCAGTGAAAGGCTTCATCGTGGGATGGGCCGTTTTCATTAGGGAGGTCGATGTCATAATCCTCCTCTTCATCGTCATCGCCGTTCTCTTGGACGTGAGCTATGATTTCATCGTCCGTCATCACTTCATATCCAGGGTCATCTACATCACATTCAAGCCACTCTTGAATATTGTCTTGATCACAATCTTCAAATTCTGGAGATTGGTTTATAAGGCCAACCAGTTCTGACACAAATTGGGTCGGGGGCTCTTCAGGTGTAGGAGCAGCCTCAGTTGGGCAAAGCTTATTCCAAGCTTTCTTCAGTGTGGTCTCCTTGACGCAATCCCAAGCTTCTGCAGCCATATAAACAGCATCCTTCATGTTTATTGCTTTATAGAGCTGAAGAATGGGTTTGTCTTCTTCTTGCCCAAGCAGAACCATCCGTAACAATGCTTTTCTGTAATAACGTTTAAAGCTCTCAATTACCCCTTGGTCCATCGGTTGGAGAACTGAGGTTACATTTGGAGGCAAAAAAACCACCTTGAACTTACCATCTTCTCTGTCGAGGTCCATCGAGGAAGGATGACTTGGAGCATTATCGATGATTAGCAAAACATTTCCAGAGCTCCCAGTTGCGATGTGTTGCTTTTTAACTTCCGGTATAAATACGGTATCATACCATTCGACAAAAATGCTTGTGTCCATCCACGAGTTCTTTTGGCTTTTGTAGGTGAGTGGTAATTTTACAATTCCCTTAAAGCACCTCGGGTTCTTAGATTTTCCAATGATAAGCAAAGGTAGCCTATGAGTTCCAGTTTTATTAGCGCACACCATTGCAGTGATGCGGGACTTGCTTGCCTTAAAACCAGGAGCTGACATCTCTTTCTTAGAAACTAAGGACTTTGTTGTCATTTTCTTCCAATATAGGCCTGTATCGTCTGCATTATAGACATTGTTATAATCGTAGCCTTCCTCACTGAGCAAACTTGCAAACGAATCTTTGAATTTTTCTCCTGCTTCAGTGTCAGCAGACAGCTTTTCCCCTTGAATATCCAACTCCCTAATACCATGCCTAGATTTAAAACGTTTCAACCAGCCGGATGATGCCTTAAAGTCAGCGTTACCACCAAGTTTCGCATTCATTTCTAGGGCTTTTTCACAAAGCAAAGGGCCACTTATTGGTTGACCTTGTCCACGTACCTGCATAAACCAAGTGTACACTGCGGTGTCCAAGTCTTGGTTTTCCGCCATTTTCATGGTTTTTCTATGTAGGCTCCCGTCTTCACTGTCGAGTACACACGCAAATTTTGTGATGGATTCACTTTTCTTTTTAATGTCAGATATCGTCGCATTTCCAACTCCATATTCCCGAGCTAAACTCGATCCACTAGCACCTTTTTTTAACTGCTCCAATATCTTAAGTTTATCAGAAACACTAAGCACTACACGTTTACGTTTGGACGACATAGTCAGTGTAGAATGAAACAGTACAATAGAAACCCGTACGAACTGTCGCTGTCGAATGCTCACAGGCGACTGAGACTTGAGACGGATACTGAGTCAGTGGCAGTAGGAGTGGCGCGCGCGGCCATAGTGCACGACAATTTCGTCACGTAGGCCCGCCCCGCCTCCCACCCTGCCTCCCGCCTAGCAGCTGTGCGGTGGCGTAGCGCTACGGCCAGTCGTGATTGGCGCGCGATTTTATTGATTTTTGCTTCTGTCTTCTTTTCGGTTAACCGACGTTTCGGATGACCGAGCTTCGGATAATCGACGTTCTACTGTAATGATTTTACTGTAGCATTGTGGAAGGTACCTAACCTAAATGTTGTGCCTGACCGCTTTTTTGTGGTATTATTTGTTGGTGTATCCGGGTACTTCACTTCCAGCTTTTACCCTCCATTTGGCAATACTGAAGGCCGGCTAACAGTATTGTTTAGTGCTGCTATCTGTTGGGTTCTTGTAAAACTATGGCCACAACAACTGGAACGCAGTATATGGCTCTCATTTGGATGAAACTAAATTTAAAAGTTTTCTCACACTTATCCACACAGTGCGTTAGCTGTTCCCGCCAACGGCAGTGGCTAGCCATCGCATAACCGCATTGAACATGTTAACTACCACTGTAGGTACTGTTTTTACCGATAACATAATCGATGTAGCATATAGTAGTTCATCAATAGCATGTGAAGAAGTCTTGCACAATGTTTCCGGTGGCAGTTTTTACTAGATATATGCCATTACTCAAAGTACAAACACAATGAAACCACTCTGCCATTGTGATTTGATACAATCCAAGTATTGTTTTGTCCAATGTCCATAGCAGTTATATAGCATCTATATGTTAACACCCGATTTTTAGGCATTTAGGAGCCTCGCAAAAGTAATCTATGATTGCTTGTTGTGTTTCCACAAATCTTTGCAGTGATACAATCTTTTCGGACTGTAAGGCTTGGGAGTTTCTTTTTCAACAATTGAAACTACAGTAGCATACAATTATAAAGACTTAGAAAAACATTATTATAGTACCTAGTTTGTTTAGTCTCAGGTAGTTAAAGATTTGTGTATGTTAGTCTTTGCATCCTTTCTCATCCATATGGTATTCTTGCTTCCTACTGATTCATTTTCACCAGTCTTCTATCTTGTAAGATATTTAATTTTGACGATTTCTTCTCCTCTTTTGTTACAAAATGTCACTCCAGTAAACCACTGATTAACTTAGATAAAGGGATTAGAACCATTTCAAATAACATATTTTTACGGTAGGAATACAAAGGAGTACAGTAAAAAGATCTACCACAGGTTTTTTTATTATTTTGAATTGCTGTCATCATAAAATTTACAACTGTGTATACACAAAATATGTTTTAAAATAATCAACAGTAGATTTCTGAACGTCATCTACTGTATATCCCAGTATGAGATCCGTGTCGTTGTCTGCTCCTTTACAATTCGTAGGCTAAGCCCAATTAACTGGTTACAGTTCCTTTTACCTGGCTCATTTTCTAATTCATTTGAATTTTTATGTGTGTTTCGGTTTAACAGGTTGCGGTTTAAAGGACGTTTACTATTCTTAGACCAAAAATGACTTATAACAAGTTACTACTATTTAGTGCAGCATAAAAGAACTTAAAGTCCTTGCCAGCTCAATGTCATTTTTAAATATCTCCTAATGTTTGAAAATTAATGCAATTATTTTAGGATTTTTTAATCTTGTTAATAAATAGAAACATTATTAACTATCAAATGAGCTCTGCGAAATTTGACTTTTCACAAACTCAATGAGATCCACTGAAGTGAAGTTTTAAGATTCTCAAACTGAGTATTTTTTATTTATTTAAGTCCAGTTAAGTGTTTAAGAGACTACTAGAGTATTGATCAGATTAGTTGCATGTCATAGTGATAATGTTGTTTTTGAGTAGTCTTTGAAAATCTTCATTACCAAATGTTACCTACGAATTGGTCCACCTGTAGTTATTATTATAAAAAGTCTTTCCTTACTGTTTTAGAAGAATAGAAGATTAATGTGAGTTTAATACATTTTATCTTGTTAGCAACATTTAATATGTGTTTTCAGCCATTTTGCTGTTTGTTGGACTCTATGGCACATTTGCGTTCTACAACAGCCGTCTCAAGGCAGAAATCGCTCAACATTCCCAACGAAACATTGGGTTTCTCTTGTTTGCTGTCATCCATCTTGTTTTTACTATTTGTATCTTTTACTATCTCTACGATGACATGAAGCTTTATTTAAGGTTAGTAAATTCAATTACAAGGATGGTTGATGATGAAAATAAAACATACAAGTTTCCAGGTCCAAAACGCAAACCTATTTCATTGAAATTATTCTCAATTCTTAAATTATATGATTGCAATCTAAATCGACTCATGTAAAAACATTTAATTTATATTGAGTTTAGGCAAAAAGAAAATGTTATTGGACCAGATAGTTATTTGATGACTATAACATTAAAATGATTCTGTATAGTATTAATATGGGTACAATAACTACTGTAAGGGCTCCATTCAGTGCCAAATTAAGCTCTCATTGTAATAAAGAGTTAACATGCTTAACACAGTACCGGTATGCTATAGCTGGTGGAGGGAATCGATGGCTTCCTGCTAGAGGCTGCCAATCCACTTTAAGTTTTTAGACATTTTGCTATGTTTTAGAACTAAACTGTGCAATTTTTTTAGACTACAAGTAGTTTTACTCGTTAACATAATGTAATTTTTATTTTATTAGGTAAAGTTATTTTTTTGTTCACATTTTCGCTTTCAGCAAGTCTGTAGATTTCCAGACACTTCACTATTGACCGATTCCATAATGATTTAACTTACAGAGCAGCACATTAGGATCCATTTTATTGAAAGTTAGAGGTGTGCAAACCTATGATTTTTGATCGAACAAAGCGCTTCTTTTCTAGCAGACATTTTATTGTATATTAATTATTTGTAATGCCATAAAACAAGTTAACTTGTCACAGTTGTTCTTTTTAAAATCCAATTTGATTTAATGTAATAACTATTTTTTAAGTATATAAAAGAGTAATGAAAAAGGAACTGAGTTTAAAAGAACTGTAATTTATTTTTCTTCAAAATGCAATACTGATGCTAGTAGGGTTATTTGACATCACCATCCTCTTTATTCTGAGTTAGTAGTGCAATAATATAGTTTTGGACTTCTGGAGTTCATCATAAGGTGTGACAATAACATCAGGTCATCCATAGGCCATCCATTTGGCTAGAGCCGTCAATACCATTTAAGAACACACATAACACATATACATTACGTAAATACGATGAATAAATAAAATATTGAAAAACTAACCAGCATTTTTAGGATAGATGACCTGATGTTTTTGTCACTTCTGACGATGAACTCTAGAAGTCTAAAACTATAGTAGTGTACTACCGTACTAACAAAGAATCACTTGATAAAGCAAGGTAACTTAAACCATTTAGCTATGTTTAAATCATTCACACCCATTTGTTTGACGGCCCCATCCTTATTTGGCGTTTCTTTTTAACAATTACTCTTTTAACAATACTCTTTTAACAAAGTTATTGGGATTTCTTAACATAGTTTGTTACATTTTCCCAATGGTTCTTTATCCTAACCATATATATTTATAAGTGCCATGCCAATTTATCCTTTAACACCAATTTACCATTCAGGCCTTTTTATGGCACTTTATTTGAAAACTACAACTTATATCTAGGCTGCTTTGCTAAGGCCGGTTTTATGCACCGCGACAGTTGCGAGTCGCGGCGCGACTCAAGTTCTATTGAATTTAATGGGAGCATTTATGCACCGCGACAGCGACAATCTGTGGCGTGAGTGAATTGGCGATCTCTAAATACCCGCGACAGGTTTTAGAATCACAGCTTTAAAAAATGTGTCGCGCGCGGTTCAAGTTCTATTGGATCAAATTTGTACGTTAATGCACTGCTACAGTAGTATTTTTATACTCCACGTGGTATGTTATCCATACATTTACATTTCACATATATTGATCAATGTTATTAATTAATATATAAATAAATTGTTTACCATTTATTTTTAATATAAATTACATAATTTTTCTTATGTAATGACATTTACATTAGGGTTAACCCAATTCAAGCTGTAAATTTTATGTGTTGTATAAATAAACGGGGGTTTGTCTTCAATGTGTACAACACTACAGGGTCTTATTTTAACAACTTAATTATCACTCCTTCATCACAACCACAACACACAACATTGGATTTAAAACTGACTTAGTTCTTTAATGTGGGTTAACGCGACAAAAAAGTGTAGCTGTCGCGTGACCGATCGGTCAGCCGCAACATATGTAGGCCTAGGGACTGTCACGGTGCATAAAACCTGCCTAAGATAAAAAAAACTATAATTTTAAACTGTGATATTTTGGCGTCTGCTAAGAATAGAATATGATCAACTGCAACTATAATTTGATCATACATCCCTCTATTCGTTCTACTTGCTTTTCACTAATAATTGATAATTTATTAATAATAAGTTTACTTCTGTTACAGCGTTGTGTTTATACCTCCCTATGTTCAACCATTTACTGTAGCTGATTTACTATGGCTAGTGGCAGTTACAGACTTCATTCTGAAACTAATCACTATAATCATCAAGATTCTAGTCACTATAATACCAAATTACCTCTTTGAGGCTAAGAAAAGGGTAAGTTTTCTGACAAATAGTTTTTATTACTAGACCTATATTTAGAGTGGGTAAAAACTGTTCACACATCCTCTTGACATTTTTTAGGTTGCCGAACAAAGTTCTTCTCAGTAACAATAACAATAAAGGAAATAATTTGTTAGGATTATTTCAATATAAATATCTCATCTGCCAAAGTGGGTGTTTTTAGGTCAATGATTTTATGATTAATCTCATTAAAAACCAATTTTACTTTAAGGTATCTTCTAGAGATATAACAGTAAAATAAACTTAACTCCTATAAAACAGTTGTAATTTTAACAAAAAGGTGCAACTGCAATTACACTGTTTTTAAGAATACTTCTGTTAGGAGCTGAACATTAATGTGAAATGGAACTCAGGTTTGCAAAAAGTAATATGAAGAGTTTGAATATATTTTTGTTTGCTACCTGGACGGATTTTAGAAAAATAATTTTCTGTTTTTTGTTTCTAGTTTAAATGCATTTATGGTAATCAATTTGTCTTCATTTCATTGTTCAAATTAATAGGAATGATTAAGAAAAGAAATGGTTAAGATATCAGTAAATAACTACCATAAAGACACTGTTCCATATGCCTGTAAAACTCGACAGGTAAAACGATAAAACTCTTCGAAATTGAGTTGGGTATTTGAAGTTACCATTTTATATCTTGTGTAAATAAAGGGATTATATTTATAAGCAAAAAACATTTTTGTAAAATGTTTTTCTTTTTACTAAAAAGAAAAACTAACTATCTTAAGTCAACTTTATGCTTTGTACCTACCTATCTTGTTTAGGTCATCTTGTTACACAGTGTTATTGTTTTTGCAATTAGAGAAACCCAAACTACAACTCTAGTGGCCAATGCACAAAATGTGATGAACTATTTCTGTTTGATTCAGGGAAAATGGTATCTAGCCATAGAATCGTCATCACAGTTGTATCGGAGCCTAGTCCCCATCCAGCCATGGCTGTATTACCTGCTGGAGTCATATCAAGGGCCACAGAAGGTTGTGGGAGTGTTCTTATCAGCTGCCTACATGGTGTCCAAGGGATCAGACCTCATGACGAGGGCTAGAGCCTGGTGGGCTTCCATGCTCAAGCTGCTTGAAAATGTTGTAAGTTATCACATACTGTCAGTAAAATATGTTGAGTAAATGTTCATACAAACAGTATTGTAGTTTGATTGAACTTTGAACGGTTCAAGGATCCGTAAATTTGATATATACAAATGTCTTTGCTACTTATATTACAACATATTATTTGTTTATATTCATTGCTGAAGTGTTTTCTAAGCTCAAAAATTAAAATACCCATATGTTTTGTCGTTTTACCTCACCAAAAATGATTATTGGTATTTTTTTAATTTAGTAGGTTACTTCACGCTCACATTATTAAAAAAAAATTGTATTCTAAAATGATTTGATATACATATTTTATTTTTACAGTATTTTATTAAAGCATTATTATAAAAAGCTAATCAAAAGTTTTTGTATTATTTTATACAAATACAAAATACATATCAATCGTCCATAGCAAACCATGCAACACTTTCCAAAGAACTGATATAAAACTCTGTTCTGATGGAGTGGTGGATCCTACTTTTACTCGTCCAATTACAATTTGGTTTTGTGTGAAAGCATCAGACCTACGATCATCTGCCTGGCCGATTTTTACTCGGACGAGCTAATTCGTATAGTGTGAGGAGCGTTAAAATTAGATTACAGAAAGCATCTGTGAAGATCGAAAGTTTATGAAGTTCATGATTTCACCACAATCGGCAAGATTAATGACTTAACTTAATGAGAGTTTTTTCCTTTGGATGTTCACCCGTTTTGTATGTTCATTGTGATGGAAATGGAATGGATATTCAGTCAGTGGTCTATTACCAGTTTTACAATACTCTTTTTGTCATTTTACCATATAAACGGCTTAACCTAACTCATCTTGTTTGTCTCTTAGCAGCTGGGTGTTAGTCCAGACAAAGAGGCTCTATCCAACGCTGGACTGACTTGTCCCATCTGTCACGATGACTACGATACCCCTGTGCTGCTAGCGTGTCGCCACGTGTTCTGCGAGAGTTGCGTCGCACGCTGGTTTGACAGAGAACAGACTTGTCCACTATGTCGTGCCAAAGTTGTTGATGATCCCTCCTGGCGAGATGGATCTACCACTTACTTCACCCAGCTTTTCTAAGCTGCCTTGCCTGTGTATATCAAATGTACATAGGAATGTGTAATATGTTCATACACAGTTATTTTGTTTTTTAATGGATTTATTTTACTGTATTTGTCAAATCACATAGTATGGGTAATCTTAAATGAATCGAAAACTTATATTTTATTAATTTAGTACATCTATGTCAGTTATTTTTATATTTTGAGGGAGACAAGCCTATATTTATGAAGAATCAAACTTGTAGCCTAGCTTATTAATGTCATAATCATGCAACACTCAATAATGTTTACCACTTGCCCAACAGTAACTCCTGATTTGCTATAAAATGAATGGTTTGAGGCATATTTTGTTTATAAAAGATAGTAACGGCAAAGGAAAAATAATACTCTTAAGGTTAAGAGTGAAGTAAATACTCTGATTGCAGCAAAACCTGCAGACTTAGTGAATATTAGGATTTTGTTTTGCTACTGCTCATAGCACAGATTTGAGTACCACCCAGCAGGTTAAAAAATGCTGTTCATTTGTAAATTGAAGTTCTTGGATGGGTATTTGATGGGCTTGGTTTGTATTATTTAAGTTTAATTTTTCTTAAGATTTGGACAGTGCTTGGTTTTATTTAGTTTTGAAAATAGATTTGAGCAGGGGCACTTTTTACGATGCTAAATTTTAGTTTTTGTTTCCTAAATGAAATAGTTCACAACTTCAAGCCCTATAATTTATTGGTTATCATGCGTTATCCACTATAAAATCACTCTTATTTAAGTGCTTCAAACACCATGTAAACATTTTTAATAGTTGGTGTTAAAAACTTATGCTATGCTAAGGATTTCTCAATGAACTCACAAAGCTATCATTCGGCCTAACTGTCCTTGTGGTCAAAACATTAAAAACAATATTTTATAATTGGTAAGTTATACTGCTTGCTATTTTACATATTGTCATAACAGTGATAGCTTATTAAAACCACAGTTTTAAACAGATGAGAGTCGAAGTTGCACAAATATCTTGTTTTAAACCTTTCGGTCTTCTTACAGAACATGATGCAATATATAGACTTGTGAGATTGTGAAAAAAACTTATCCTGAAAGGAGGATTATGATTATGGCTGTTAATTAGGTTTTAGTGTTTTAAAAATATACTAAGACTTGTACATATTCTTTTTTTGTACAAAATGTATATTTAATTTGAATCAGCTACTTGAAGTGCTTTATTGTGCCACTTCCTATTTATTTATAATTATCTTAACAAGGGGATATTTATGAATAGGGTTCAATAGGGTTTTATTTTGGTTTTTAACAACTGTTGGTTGTACACATAGTGTCTTTTTTAAAGGGTGTAACATAGAGCACAAGGGCCTAAGTTATTAGGATTTTTAAGGCTTACCTGAATGGGAAAGAGTCCAAACTGGCACAGGAAACACAAAACTTTACACTATTTACACAAAACATTAGAATATTTCACTGTCACTGACAGTATTTTCAACTAAGGAAGAGAGAGTTTTCTTTGTGTCCAAAATGGCCATTCATGCTGGTTCTGAGGCTATTTTGCCTATATATTAGTACATTATGCACTCGATGCTGTACATTATGTAGGCCTATCCACCAATAGCCTCATAACCAGGATGAATGGCTATAGACAAGATGTATCTACTGGATACAAAGACAAACCAGTTGTACAACATGCCCAGATCCATAACAACCCAAATTTCAATGACAGCTATACAACTAAAATAGTCAGATCCCTGCCTCCTCAATGTAACCAGTCACAACTGAGAAGATGGGAATTATCTTACCAATGGTTTACAAAGTATAGACAACCCCCAAACCTAAACCTACGATAATACCTTTCATCTAACCCACTCCACTTCAACATCCAACCCAACAAGCAGGCTTACATACTTATTCACATAGTGTATATAAGATAACTGAAACTGTATTTTTTGAATTCATACTATTGACAAGACTGTCTCAACAGCACACTGGCCACCAGTTTGGACATAAAGATAACTCTTTCCTTAATTCAAAATGCTGTCGATTTTTGACAGTGAAATATTCTAATGTTTTGTGTATATAGTGTAAAGTTTTGTGTTTTCTGTGCCAGTTTGGACTCTTTCCCATTCAGGTAGCCTGCTATCCTCTGAAACAATGTCTTTTTTGTTCATACTAAATATCAACATATCAGTAATGGCATTTAAAATGTATCTGATTGAAAAAATGCTTTAGTTTTCAAAACAAGCTAACCAATATAACACTTTGTAAAATCTGAAAAACAAATTTTAGTATTTTAAACTTAACACTTTAAGCAATCAGTAATTTCAAATAGGCTACAGATTTTATTTATATTTGATTTTTTATACACTAATTAACTATAATTTATTGGATAACGTTTTCTGCCTTTTGTAATTTTAATAAGATAGAAAATTGTGTTTTATTTAATCACTGGAAGGACTCAAATTCTTGTTAAATTTTCATTGGAAATATTAAACAGTATGAAATGATTACATTGTGTTTATTTTCTTGACTAAAATTACCTTAGCTAACACACTAACGTAAAAACTATTAATTCTCAAGCTTCAAATTCAAAGTTGGTTGTACAGTATTACACTTTGTTAAAATTAATAGCAATATTGATGCGTACAATTCTGTTGACTCCAATAGCACAGCTCCAAAAGTGGACTCCAATAGTTTTGGTCCACTTCGCTAATTTAAAAAGATAAATTTGATGTGTTTATGCATGTTGAAAAATTGTGTGACCCGTGCGGTTTCTGGGTTAGAAATAAAGCCGCAGTATACCCTGCTAGTCAAAGAAGTGACCAAAAGGGAAAGGGGGCGTACCAGCTTCTTTTCAGTGTCTCCTTTTCAAACTTCCACTTCTGTCATAATTCTACATACCCCAGTTCCTTCCTCTATCACTCTGGTCTTCTCCCGATGTGACTTCCGGATGTAGTTCCCCATTCCTTGAGGCACTTGATTAGGTTAAGTATACAGCTTAAACACTGGTTTCTTTTCACTAGCACTTTTCAGGTTGCCAGATAGTTTTTTCTTTAATGGAGAGGAGGGAAAATGCTTTTACGAACACAGGTAGCCAGCCTGTAGTGTGAGACTACTGAATTTATCACAGACAACTCACTAAAAAACCCCCTCTACTCTGTTGGACACAGACCTGGAATTGTTTGTCACATTACTTCAAGTCAGGCCAACATGTGACCTAAGCCCTCAGGGCTCTCACCATTTTTGGCATTTAGATACTTTATGACCTACACCGCATCCCAGTCAAGGTCGAGCTTCTTGGCGCGGAGAATACCCTGGATGTAATGTGACACTCAGGTCCAATTGTCCTCACCCTCCGTCATCATCAGTATGACTGACTGCCAGATAGTACAGGGCCACAGGGGCCTGAGTCAGTAACGTCATGGCTGCCTTATCAGGTGGCAGTAGCAGTGCCGGTCGGCGACCAGATATGACCATGCTTTGGTCATTGGTTCTTGCCGAGGCTACTACCGGATTGGGCTCCCCATGCTGTATCTGGGTTAGAATAGACTGCAGTATCTCCTGCTTGTCGTAAGAGGCGACTAAAAGGGGGACTGTGTACATTGCTCATATTCAGAGTCATCGTAAGTATTGTATTATTGTTTGGGGTCACTCTAGTAATTTAAACAAACTCCTGATCTTACAGAAAAGAGCAGTGTAGTCGAGTTACGAGATGGCCCCTGGAACCTGGCCTAGCAATTTTTTGAAGGCGTTACTGAGCTGGCACAACATTGCCAAAAGGTTTTAATATATTTAGCCAAAAAATTAAATAATGCACAATTTTTTTAAATAAACTTACATTTTTATTGCAACAAAAAACTTTTTTAAAATTCTTTCTTGGAGTGTTATTAATATTTTTTTATAAACTTATATTGTTTTTGTAGGTTAATTCGTTGATTTTCAATTAATATTTTTATACAAGCGTTATGTAATGAAGTATTAAATTGTATTAAACTATACATTCTAAAAATAAACAAATAAGTGTTGCTAATAAATAGACCTAATGAATTATTTTTCAAACACATTTTTCTTTTTAAATTGATAAGACATTTATTATTTGATACAATTCAAATTAATAAACCTTTTAACAAATCAAAATTCAAAATTAATTACAGATTAAAATAAACATTTTGAAAATAAACAAAAAAATTGCTAATAAACACTGTATTATTTACAAACACCTTTATCCTCTTGAAGTTTTGTACCCTTTTATTTTAAATCTCCTAAATAGGCAAAATTTAGCTTTAAGGAATAAACAAGTAAATCAACATCTTGCTTCGATCTTGTGTATTAAAAATTATATTTACTTCACATTGTTTTAACAAAATCTCTCACTCATCAATAATCATTTAAGAGTTTATGTTTTAACGAACATTATCAAAAAACCCTGAAAATAAAACAATCTTTTAGTTATTTGTCTACTGATATTTTATATAAACTTGATTTTAAATTGAAATTGAACAAAATTTATAATTTTAATTATGAATTTAAATAAGAGAAAGCAAGGCATTTATTTAATTTTGAGATTTCTACAAAACTAAACTAAATTTAGAAAAAAGAAAAAAACTTACCCAAAATGGGGTTAAACACTGAATTTAAACAAGTTTACTTATGAACAACTGACTAAAAGAGACAGCAGCACATGGCAGAGGGCCTTGTATAACCTTGGTATAGACAAATCTGTACAAGAAACTAACTAAACATCTGATTGGTTGTTGAGCGTTGCTTTGTCTTTTACATGAATGACTGAGCTAAACAGGAAAATTGGCATGCTATTGTACACATGGTACAGTTGAGACTTTTATTATTTGAAACACTAAAATTTAATAAACCTTTTAACAAATCAAAATTCAAAATGAATTACAGATTAAAATAAACAAAAAATTGCTAATAAACACTGTATTATTTACAAACACCTTTTTCTTCTTGAAGTTGACAAGACTTTTATTATTAGAAACGCTTCAAATTAATAAGCCGTTTAACAAATCAAAATTCAAAATTAATTCAAATTAAAATTAAAAAACAATACTGCCCAAGGGCTGCATAACTCATAGGGTAGTTTGCCGTCAATACTGCATGACGCATATTTGTGACCGGACTTCTTAGAAGATAGTTTGGGCAGTTTTCTGATGAGTTGTAAGATGAACAATACATTCCAGATTAAATTATGTAGGCCTACTTTGCGTACATTTTTCAAGTTATTCTCCTAGTGGACAGGGGGGGTTTGTATTATTCTGAAAATGTTCCTGGTGACATTCATAAAAGTCAATTTTCAAATCCCCAAAAAAATTCATTCTTCTGCTTTCAAATCAACCACAAAAAAACCCAAACAATATAATGAAAAGGGTCAACAGGTTATCGTTCATAGACCCATCATATAAAGCATTTCTAGGCCCAAAATGTTTTGAGCTATTTATACAGTTAGTTTTTAACTCAGTTCAAATTCTTAAGTAATTTACAACACATAATAATTGAAAAATGCATGCTTAACACACTCACTCCCGTGTGGAGAGAAGTCGTACAGAGGAGTCGTACAGAGGAGTGTGACGGCTGCTAGGACTGAACCTGATCGGTCCATTCAGAAAAAAGTTAAATACATTATTAAACCACCTTTATAATAATTTTTTATTCAACGGAGTGAAATCCATTTTTATTTTCATAACCAGATAAAGAATGATTTTAATAAACATTTCTTTACGCAATCTGCTAAAAAGTTCCGTTAAATGTAAAGCAATCTTTAAATTAAATTTTAAAAATAAGTTAATTGTTCCTTTAACTGGACAAAAACATAAAAATACACAATCGTTTGCTTTCGTTTTTAGCAGGCCTGCTGTCAGGATCCGGTAAAACGCCTTCAACTTTACGCACACTTTACTCAACTCCGCATTGTATGTTGGCCAAACGGGGGCCATCTCGTGACTCGGCTGCAGTAGTAGTAGTAGAGTGATGTTTAATGTTAGTTCTAGGACTCATTGTCAGCCTTTGTTTTGGATTGTTTAAAGTATATAATAAATAATTTTGATGATTTCCCTACAAACAAATCCGTACATTACTACAACACCAGGCAGCATTTTTCTCAGAATAAATCAGGGCAATTTTTAAGGTCCGTGAAGTTGGCGTACCCATATTAGCGTATCCACTTTTGATCATTCCAATCGTTAGTTCATCGTTAGTTCTCGATAGTTCCCAAATTTTGTCGTTAGTTCTCAAAAAATAAAAAAGTTATAGCCGATAATAAGTGGGTACGCTAACTTCACACTTCCGGGTTCTAGCGCACGCCGTTTCCTGATGAGAAATGTTTACATCTATATATCAATCGTTAGTTCTTCGTTAGTTCTCGATAGTTCTCCAATATTAACGTTAGTTCTCAAAAAATAAAAAAGTTACGAGGCATACAAAGTGGGTACGCCAACTTCACAATTATAGAATTTCCAGCGGGCACACTTTTTTTAATAAAAATGCTTACATCTATATACCAATCGTTAGTTCTTCGTTAGTTCTCGATAGTTCTCCAATATTAACGTTAGTTCTCAAAAAATAAAAAAGTTACGAGGCATACAAAGTGGGTACGCCAACTTCACAATTATAGAATTTCCAGCGGGCACACTTTTTTGAATAAAAATGCTTACATCTATATACCAATCGTTAGTTCTTCGTTAGTTCTCGATAGTTCTCCAATATTAACGTTAGTTCTCAAAAAATAAAAAAGTTACGAGGCATACAAAGCGGGAACGCCAACTTCACAATTATAGAATTTCCAGCGGGCACACTTTTTTGAATAAAAATGCTTACATATATATACCAATCGTTAGTTCTTCGTTAGTTCTCGATTGTTCTCCAATATTAACGTTAGTTCTCAAAAAATAAAAAAGTTACGAGGCATACAAAGTGGGTACGCCAACTTCACAATTATAGAATTTCCAGCGGGCACACTTTTTTGAATAAAAATGCTTACATCTATATACCAATCGTTAGTTCTTCGTTAGTTCTCGATAGTTCTCCAATATTAACGTTAGTTCTCAAAAAATAAAAAAGTTACAAGGCATACAAAGTGGGTACGCCAACTTCACAATTATAGAATTTCCAGCGGGCACACTTTTTTGAATAAAAATGCTTACATCTATATACCAATCGTTAGTTCTTCGTTAGTTCTCGATAGTTCTCCAATATTAACGTTAGTTCTCAAAAAATAAAAAAGTTACGAGGCATACAAAGTGGGTACGCCAACTTCACAATTATAGAATTTCCAGCGGGCACACTTTTTTGAATAAAAATGCTTACATCTATATACCAATCGTTAGTTCTTCGTTAGTTCTCGATAGTTCTCCAATATTACGGTCGTTCTAAAAAAAAAAAAAAAAACGAGGCATACAAAGTGGGTACGCAAACTTTACAATCATACAATTTCCAGCGGGCACAGTTTTCTGACTATATGCTTATATCTATATCTACATGTGTCTACACACATGTGTTGTTTTACCACCAACTGTTCGTTTCGAGAATGGCAAAAATATTCCTTCACTTTGATGTGTGCAAAAATACCGGCAATGAACGGAAAACACGAGCACGAGCATTTGCTGTCATAC